CAGTTAAATTCGCAGAGGTGCCCATATAAGAAGAGAAAAAGGGAGAATAAAGAATTGCAAATCGTTTTACACTAAGTTTGGCGGAGGAGCGGAGGCAGGTGGAGGCGAGAGGAAACATAGATTATCAAGAGAGAGAAGACTTATTGAGGGGGGAGGGGAGGGGAGGGGGTATAGATTGGGTTGAATTGCCAAACTCTTATTGGAACACATTTCGTTGCAGCAAATATAGTGAGTGTAGAGAACTTAAATTTTTGTTGTTGTTGTTGTTGTTGTTAGCAGGTGTGGAGGGGTTAAGAAATGTTACGATTTTCTTACTTTTCTTTTTTTTGGCTCTATTTGTATTTTATGATTTTTTTTCTGTTTTTATCAGGTATTACTTTTACTTTGGGTGTGAACTTTTCGTTTTTTTATGATTATCAAGGAAACGCTATTCTGAACAAGAGTATCTGTATGTTTCACTAACGAGGAGAGTTTGCCGAAGAAAGCAAAGTTCCGGGTAGAATTGCATCCAGAGTATCCAATTAATAGAAGAAAAAAAGAGTTAATATCTGTTCTTTTTTTTCACTTGTCTTTAATGATTTTACTCATAGCTTGGCTCAGCAAGATGCAGCAGAAACATCATCATGCTCTCTTCTCTCTTTTTCTCATTCCTTCTTGCTTCCCATGGTGTCCCTTGTTCCAAGTCTCTAATCGGGCCTCCGCTTCTCTCTCTCTTTCGCAGTGATCGGCACATAGCTCTCAAGATCATCAAAAATGTCGAGAAATATAGAGAAGCTGCCAAGTTGGAAATCAATGTGCTGGAGAAGCTGGCCGAGAAGGATCCCCACAACAAACAGTGAGTGTCTTGGCCCATTGGTTTTGGGGCTCTTTTTTTTTCTTCTTTTTTTGTTTTTAAGTTATATTTAGGTATGGGTTATGTGATCGTTCTTTGTCTCCATCATCATCATTATTATTATTATCACAGTTCAATCATTATTATTATCACAGTTCATTTTGATTGTTTTGTTGTTAATGTGTATGAGTATTATTTTTGCCATTTGTCAGTTGATAGTTTTTATTAGTGTAGTCGATAGGAATGGAGACTGACAAAATAAACAAATTTATTTTTTATCATCACATCCACTACCGTTACTCTCTGTTTTTGCAAAGAATGTTCGTGTTTAATCAGAGGGCATCATTATTTTGTTGTCACTTTTGCCATTAAGTGGAAGGAGGTTCATTAGCATATTTTACCTCTTCGCTGATGCTTTTCTTAAGTGTTATGAACTTAAGAGGAAAAGATATTTTGAAAGGTAATGGTTGCACTATCTTTCTATTGAAGATGATAGCAATTAGAAATATGGTAATGATTTTGCTAATTAGGGAAATATAGATTTTTATGTACATGAGCAGAGGAAACTGTACTTACCCGTCTTGTACATCTCCTGAAGCAAAGCTTAGTTTCGCAAGAGAGCGAAAAGAAGTGGCGGTAATGTTTCCTTTTTCTTTCTCTTTTGAACAGTTTGTGTGTCAGGATGTTGAGCTGGTTTGACTACCATGGACATGTGTGTATAGCCTTTGACATGCTTGGACTCAGCGTGTTTGACTTCTTGGTAAGTTGGGCTTCTGAAAGTTTTCCTTGTTATTTAAATGTGAAGAAAGCCAAATTATGTTCCGCAGTTTCACATGTCTTTGATGTGAAAATTAATATGAATATGCATTTCTTTCACTGTCTGACTTGTTTTTCCTGCTTTTTTTTTTTTATTTTATGTTCATTGATTTTTTTTTTTTTTTATCTTGTTTCCTGTATATCTTGTTTCTTTTTTATTTATATATATATTATATATTATACATTATACATACGTAATATATACATACATACAGGCATACAGCCATGCATACATTTTTTTGCATTTTCTTACCACTCTCTCTTTTCTTCTTGTTTTGTATCTCTTTCCTCCCCCTTTTCAGCTGACTGCTTCTCAGTGTGGAGAAATGTGATTGTGCATACCCGCATTTTAGCACAGTTTACCTTTACGTGAACTTTTTTCTTACTGAGTAATATTTATACTCTATTATATATTTTATAGAATTGAATATTAGGAAGCTGTTGCACAAGATGAATCACTACTTGTGCTAATCACATAAGCCATTTGTCTCAAGATCGGAATATGTTCTGATATTATTTTGTGCTGTTGCTCCCATGTAGTGATGCAAATAGCACTTAGATCTGCAAGTTTAGGTTTGGGGGATGCCAAGCAGTAGCCAGAACTTCTTTACCACATGTCTGTCCATTTTGTCATCCTGAATGCGTTTGGAAGTGTCTGTGCTTGCGTGTGTTCCCAGTACCTTTTTTCATCACTAAATATGGGAAAAAGGATTTTTAAGTCTGAAGAGGTATTCAGAGGGCTGTATTGCTGTTAAAGTGGTTGAATTTAATGGGCAGTTTATGTAGGGGGTGTTGGGTAGTTACAGGACTTTGGAGAGGTTTTATTGCTTTTGTGGTGTTTAAAGTTACCAAAACAAGAGGAGAGAGAATAAAAAAAATTATTTTGTTCTTTACTTGTTTCATTCTTTCCTCCTCTTCCCTCCTTCCCTTTCCCCTTCTTCTTTTTCTGCTATTCTTCTTCTTCCTCCTTTTCTTCTTCCCTCTTCTTTCTTCTTCTTTCTCCCCTTTCCACTTCTTTTTCTCCTCCTCTTCCTCCTTCTCCTTCAGTATACAGTTTAGTGAGTTGTTAAATTTATATTTTCAAAAAATGCCTGAAAGTTAATGCTACTGAGATTATAAGTATATATATTTTATGATGCGTAAAGCTTGAGCAAACTCTCCCTGCTGACCTGGCAACTGACAAGACTGAAAGGCATTGGTCACATTTTTAGATACCAACAAACTAAAATAAGTCAGTGGTATTATGAAGATGAAATTCCTGTCAAAGAAAGTAGGGAAGAACATGTGAAGGTGATAGAGCTTAATACAGCAGAAGTGGGTATTCTGAAGTTTGCTAAGAGATTATTACTCCCATTTTCTTCACACTTTTCTTATTTCCTCTCTCCATCCCATTGTATCTGTGTACTTTTTTCATCTGTTCACTTTTATACCCCTTTCAATTGTTATTATTATGCTCCTATTCTTCACATTCCCGTATTTATTATACTTATTAATAATGTGTTTACATATAGATTCAATGCCTTGCTTGTTGTTTTTGCAGAAGGACAACAATTACCGTCCATATGCCCTGGAAAAGTCCGACACATTTCCTACCAGCTGTGTTATGCTGTCAAATTCCTCCATGACAACAAACTCACTCATACTGATCTCAAGCCTGAAAATATCCTCTTTGTCGATTCAGATTATGACTTGACATATGATCCCAAGAAGGTAAGGATCTTTTAATATATATATTTTTTTGTACTATTTTTATATGTATATGTAAATTCACAATTTTTTTTCTTCTTTGTCTTTTATAGGTGGATATTTAATTACTGGTGAGACATTCACTACACTAAACCCCATTCTTTAGTTCAGACTTTCCCAGTCTGTGATTCACATTTAAAGTACTACAAATCACATGCATTTACAGAGTAGCACTTCCAATTAAGTAACAATATTGTAACAAACCAATTTTAACTGAAGGGAACCTTAAACAAAGCCTACTCTGTTCCCCCAGAAACGAGACATCAGAACAGTTAAAAGGACGGACATCCAGCTAATCGACTTTGGAAGTGCAACATTTGATCATGAGCACCACAGCACTATAGTTTCTACTAGGCATTACAGAGCACCAGAAGTTATACTAGGTGAGTATGGACTGTCACAAGTCACTTTCAAATTAGTGTTTTCTTTCTTGGTTTTTTAATTGTTGTAAGAAAGTGCTTGTAGTAAATTGCTAAATATTCATTGTAAAAAATAAAAATGTTATCATATTGTTAGTGTTCATGTAGTGTAGTTTGAATGCCGGTGGAAAAGTTAGACTTCACTTTCGTACTCTGATTTTTGGATAGTAAAAAAAAAAAAAAAAAAAAAAAAGAAAGAGAGAAAGAAAGAAAGAAAGAAATAATAATAAATAAACAAAAAAAAAAACAAACAAATAAATAAATAAATAAATAATCATAAGAAAGGTGGTGTTCACAATTTCAAGACCAATCATTCTGAAGTCTTATCATTTACATTAGTTTATGATTACTTTCATATTACTATATGTGTAATAACACTTGAATCCTCTTTTCAGAATTGGGATGGCAGCAGCCTTGTGATGTCTGGTCCATTGGTGTATAATGTTTGAGTTGTACTTGGGGATCACATTGTTCCAGACGCACGATAACCGAGAACACCTGGCCATGATGGAGCGTATCCTCGGACCCATTCCTTACAGGTAAAGTGTGGGGTGTGTAATGTGTGTGTAGGGGGTAATGTGTATAAGATTAATCATGTTTTATATATTGATGTTTTTTTTCTGTCTTTGTTTGGAATTTACAAATATAAATGTTTAAAATTTAGAATAGTAATTCTTAAGTGAAAGCCTTTCTTTCTTTCTTAGATTTTCATATAAAGCTTTTTGAATGTCTTAGTTTTTTCTTTTGATTGCATTCCTCAGAACTGATTCTGTTCTCTCTCCGTCACAGAATGGGCAGAAAGACAAGGACCAAGTATTTCTATCATGGCAAATTAGACTGGGATGAAAAGAGCTCTGCAGGCAGATACGTGCGCGAGAATTGTAAACCTCTTAGGGTAATGCTGAGCAGATATTTGGTTTGTAATGTAATTAGACTTTTTTTACAACTAATCTTTTACTAAGAGGTATAAATGGTTATTAGTGACTGTATTGTTTATACAGTCATGAGTTTTTTGTAGAGTTTATCGAGACTTACATAGCAGGCATGTTCTTTTCTAAAGGATGAAAAGAATGTGGAGTGTTTTTAAAAACTTCAGATTTTGGAAGAGTATCTGTTTGGATGTGTTTAGGATGGATACTTTAAATATATGTATTTGTTACTCTACAAATTACTCTGTGTGCATGAGATGATCCTTTCATATTTTTGTCTGATTGTAAAATTTATTAAATTTTTAAGTTAGTGCTTAACTGTAAAAATAAAAATAATAATTTGCTTCTCAAAAAAAAAAATAATTGTTGTGTCACTGTTTGTTTGTCTTCCTTTATTAATGATTACAAACAAGTGAGCAGTCTGTAAAAATCCATTACTATGCATGGATGTGTTAAAGTTATTTATACTCATTTATACTCAATGTTGTGGATTACTAAATTGGAATTAAACTGTATGTTGAGATGTAGAATGAATATGAATGTTGCTACATGTGCGTATGATTTTAAATAATTTACCATGATAATGTGATGACTTGACTTCACTGGTATCATGGTAACTGTTTATCTTTATTCCAGATTTTGAAATAGCATTTTTAGAATTTTTTTTCACCTGACATAACCAAAATTGATATAATTTAGATACCTTGATTTGCTTAAAACTAAGTATCACACATGAAATAAAACATTGGATAAATATCCATCCCAGACAAAACTAACGGAAGTGCCTCAATTTTCCAGAGCTACCAGACAAGTTCAGATGAGGACCATAGGTTACTATTCGACTTAATCACCAAGATGCTGGAATATGAACCAGGCCAGCGCATCTCCCTGAGCGAGGCACTTAGGTAAGGACATGGGCGTAATGTTTTGTTAGAGGTTAGAAACTTTTTGATAATTTGGGGGTTCACATTTTATACTTAGAAAAAAAAAAGCTATCATGACTTGGTTGTAAGGTTATATTTAGTATGAATAGAATGGAAAATAAGTTTTGATATTATGTTAGGGGCAAGATACTTTTTAATACTCTGTCAGTTTGGCATTTTGTTTTAAAAAGGGAAACAATGTATTGACATTCATATCTAAAAGTTCTGCATTTTACTTATTTGCAATGATGTAGTTTAGTGTAAATTATCCCATATTAAAGGGTTTCTCAAATTTATAGCTTCTTGTCATATCTGTTGGGTGTTTTACAACTTATTTAATCAGTTGCTTTTACATTGTGGCTATTTAGGTCATGTGATAAATTTTGTAGTTTTAATCATGCAAATTTCACATCTTGTAAAAGTTCTTGTACCATGCAGTCTACTTATTTGCAACCCAGTGTAGATGTACTTTTGGCCTATCATGAGGTATTGCCAAGTTGCTAGATAAGAGTAAAGATAAAATTGGTAGTCATGTTTGAATAATAACTTTCTTCCCAGGGACCATATCTGGATGTAACAGCCAATAAGATTACTTTTTTATGGTAACAAGTCTGGATAATTAATTCAGTTGAATCAAACACAATAGAAGTGTTCTTTTGTGTCAGCCCATATCATTTTTTTTGCCAAAAAGAAAAAAGACATAACTATTCTTATGTAACCTAACAAAGGTAGATTTCTTCTCACATTCATTTAAATATCTAACAAGGATTTACCATCTTTCTTTCCAGGCATCCTTTCTTTGAGAAAATCCCTCCTCATCAGCGGTTAGGCGACGACCATCGGGAACGCTCACATTCCCTCTCACGGTGATGCCAGATATTCCAAGGGTCCTACAGCACTGCTGCCTAACTCATATACCTTTCCCTTGTGCTCTCCCGGGCTGTTAACAGTTCATGTGCCGGATTATGTAGATAAGTCAAGATATTAGCTCAGTTTAATATACGTAACCAGCAACTGAATCTCAGTAAGGATTTCAGCAAAATTACCATTATTATTATTAGTCTTGTTGAACTGAAATGGTATATTTTTAAGGTTCATTATTTTACAGTAAGAAAAATTGTTGATGATGGGTTAGTACAAAGAAGGTGTTGATTCTTTGAGTGGGTGATTGGGCATTGAACCTTTTATAGGTGAATGGGGTTTGATAGTTCCTGTGATCTTGTTTGTGGAATTAACCACCTTCTTGGTGAAAGTCCCATTATTATTCCTAGCTAAATAAAAAGTTAAAAAAACAATAAATACATACATAAAAAGCAGAGCTCAAGACTTGAAAGCAAGTTTTTTTTCTCAGGCTGAGCAACTGTTCACATTAGCATATGGCATTGGGAGGGATGCAAGGTAGTTTAATATAGGAACATTTTACATGTGTCTTTGTGCATTAAGTTGTAATTATCTGTGAACTATCATTTGGTATGTTTTTAAAAGCTTTTGTTTTTAAAATGAGGCTACCACATGACAAAAGGTTAATTTCCTCTTTTGTTCAGAGGTAATGAACAATTGGTTACTAGGAAAATGAATGTATGAACTAAGGGAGTGTGAAGGAGCATCCACACTATTGTAAAGGATCTCTCTGCTCTTTATCAAAGCCAACTTCATATGTGTTCTGTACAAGAAAGTGATGTTGTGAACTGTGTAAAATATTTTTTAAAAATGTACATTATTTTCTAATTTGCACAAAAGTTAGATGATATGGAACAAATGACTGAAACTACTTGTATCATTTGAAATGACACTGCCGGAGAAAGTGGACTCTTTAAATAAACAGTGTAAAGATA